ATATATTTTTAAAAAGATATAAAAGATGTATTTTAATATAACTTGCACTATGCAGTAAGATATAAAAAAGTCAATAAATACACATATAGTTTTCAGCAGTTTTGCGAGGGACCTTGATATTATTGCGTTTTGTGATGTAGAAAATTCATATAATTTTGTTTACATCAAGTAATTAAAAGAATGTATATTACACAAGCACGCAGTTTTTTAATTTTTGTTATCGAAAAACACTAATAAAAAAATTATACTTGTAGCCTTAAGAAATGTACCAAAGTATAGATATTGTATAAATTTCATGATAAAAAATAGGTTGCCTAATATATTACAAAGCGTTCACAAGTACACGTTTATCGACATAAATCTTAACAACAATCATTTGACTGTAATACCATACTAACTTTCTGATTTTTTTTTTGCTAGAATTTAACTTATTACCACAAACTGCTGATCACATCCAATTCGCGCATTATTTTTTCATGCAAAAAATACGAGTATATGATAATCCAAGATATTCAGCAGTTAATGCTTCATCCGTAGTATGTTTTTATTTAATAGTGACATTATATGTCGATATCTTAGTTAAATACACTATAATCTAACTTTTGAATATACATTACGATTATTTGCCATGAATGGATATAATTTTACTATCTTCCATTTCATGGTATTTCATGTACCTTTAATATTCTGTTTGGGAAATTACTTGCTGAATCAGAAATCAACTTCGTTTTCTTTTTTGTATTACAAATATATATGTATGTTTTTGGATGCCTCTGCTCCATTCATATGTATATATCTAAGCTATAAATACTCTCACGTATATTCTACTCTATAGCAAGACTAAATCCAGATAATTCCATCTACACTTCATTCGCTGTCATCTTTCGTTTAGCTGATCCTTTATAGCAAAGTAAGGCCTTTTTTTACGTATGTAAAGAAAGATACTTGTAGATTGTTTTAATCAAATCCCGGGAAGAAGTTGAATACTAGTACGGAATGCTTATGATGTCCAAATGAAAAAAAAAAAACTGTCAGTATTAAACAAGTTTGAGCTCAGCTCTTTGATTAAGTTTTTCTTAATTTTTAATAATTTTAAATTATGAATCCTAGAGCTAAATTTTAGAAAAATGAGGATTAATTGAATGCTGTCTACCACCTCAATTTAACAATGGCTATACCAATATTCCTCTACGATGGGAATGCATGCCTTTCTCCATGAACTCATAAAGCAGCAGCTAGCGTGATCATACAAACTTATAAACGTACGAGCTTACTGACAATGCCATGAACCTTTAACTAGGTTCTTGATACGCTTAACGTGCTCTAAAAAAATTATTCGAAACACTCAGTAAAGTTTCATCTCTCAGTTAACTTCATTCGATTTACTTCGCTATTTCTTCTAGACTAAGTCTAAACTGCAATGATCATTTGTACCGATGTATCTCACATGGATGTTTTCATCTGCAAAAAGAAATTTTTTTGTAAGACATCAGAGGTCTGTAAGGTTAAATGTTTATAACAACCATACCTAAATGTTATTGAATTATGTAGGAGTTACAATTTTTCAATTATCACTATTAAAGAAACTAAACGCTACACATTGTAGTAATTATTTTTTGTTTATTTATTTATTGCATTTATTTTATTAATTTTAAGAAACTATATTATTTAAGGATAAAGTTATCAAGCTAATATTTGGAATCACTACATTCATGTTATTAATTGTTTTAAAATAAATGTTTCAAAAATAAAATTTTTGTTAATATGTAATTAAGATAATGTTATGAGTAATTTATTCGAAAACAACACCTCTTTGGATTATCAAAAGCGTATTGTGATTAAAATTTTGTTTATACCTCCTGGTTAAGCAGCTTAAGCTTACTGGTAACTGTTCTGTCGATGGTATGTGCCCAGTAATAGTTTCTGTTAAAGGATACCACTGTGCCACATGTTTACGAGGACTGTCAAGCATTTCCAGCCACTTGTCTCTCCCCATTCCAATTGAGTTTGCTCCAATCGCGGTGCAGCCCATCAACTCATTCGCTCCAATCCTTGAAGTAACAAAGGTGAATTGATAAAAGGTAGTTCAAGAATATTTCGAAAACAATTAAGATACTAGTATTAATGGAATACATATTACGAATTTTTTTTTTTTTTTCAAGTAATCCACTTCAACTTTTACAAGAAATGGTAAAAATCGAAAGAATTCTTGATTATTCATTTTATTTAAAGGTATAGAAGAAGATAATAATTTAAAAAAAAACAATTTCAATCGCTGTTTACCAAGAAAAAAAAGTAAAACATCTTATCTGGGTTCAGTCAAAAGCAAAAATCTACACTACACGATTAAACTATGCATTTTAGTGTACAATAAAAAAAAAACTTTACCTGTCGTAGTCTATCACTTTGATGATGAGACTGCAGTCTTCTATATTTTCAGCTGGCACATCAAAAACTAAAGCCTCATTGTACACGGGATTCAAGCAGCCCTTCTTAACACTCGTTTTCTTCTTTTTTATTCTCTTGCCTTGGCACAACAGGTAAACTTTGACATAAGGATCTGTAGGAGTGTTGTACATTTTAGTGAAGAACCGAAAATATCATAAGAATGTTATCTCATTGCATAAGATTTACCTGATGATCCTGTGATGTCCATTTTCTTAAGATTTCTGGCTTTGATGACGGCCACGGTCAAGCGACCAGCACTGGGTAGATAGCAGAGGGTCAACATCAGTTCTCCCAAGTCCACCTTATCCTATTGTGAGTAAAAAAAAAGTAACGAATCACAAACTAGTTACAAATAGAAAAACACGTTTTAAAATATTCATCTTAAAATTGTCAAGACTAAAAATGTATAGGAAAAACGTTCAAAGTAACTGATTATTTGCTTCAAAAGTCTGATAAGGTGAGTAATGAATCTATTCTCACCTGAGTGGCGCACATGATGTCCATGGTATATTCAATTTCATGCTCATAATCGACGCAGTCTATCAAATCCTTCAACACGACTTGTCCAATGAGATCATGCCTTGAAAATCGATCGAAATCATACACGGAAAATTGTAAGTACCTCTCGTGTATGTCATTATAGGGTACACTGAAAGTAAAATATAAAATGCATGAAAAATGTATCAAGTTAATCCAATGATTTTACAATAATGCCATAATTGTGTTAAATTTACTTGAAAAGGAAGGCTTCATTGAAAATTGGGTTGAGATTTTTCCTGTGCACTTTCGTCTGGTACTTTTTCTTTCTATCAGGCAGAAGGTAAACTTTAACGTAAGGATCGCTACTTCCACAAACATCTTTGACGGGCAGATTCCGAGCTTCTAAGACCTGAAAATAATATACATACATTTCTTCGTTAAGTTCATGCTTTGTAGATCAGGGAAATAGAAAAGTCTCAAGCGTCATAATTTTCATCAAAACTGGAAAAAAATTTTTGATAAATTAGCTAAATCACGTAAATTTTAATATGAACAGCGTGTTACCCTAACAAAGGCCAGATACATTGTAGAGTTTACGAAGCCATAAAGTTATTAACAGAATTTGTCTATTGGGAGATCACAAAAGCTTACCAAGATAGTTATCCGCAAAATAATTACATGCAAATTGCTCGCGAGAATCCGTTCATTCATTCTAATAGCATCGATCTCGCATCAATAATCAATTCATCTGTGTCTGTCAAGTGTATTATGTAACGTTAAAAGCTCTGCAATGGTGTACTCGAATTGTCCTACACAGGAAGCTGTCATTATCAGGTTTATCATTCTGTAAATCTTTTCATCAACGACTCGATATCGATCAACTGTTTCATGGTTGACAAGCTCTTCAGAATTATTGGTTTTATTGTGAGCGGAAAAGCTGTCACATTCAATACAATAACACTTGTTACAATTGTTATTGCTCTTTTATCAAATTTCGTTTCAATCATCATGTAAATTTTTTTATTTATATGATGCGTAAGATGAAATTCGTATTCAGGGATAAATTAATTATTTGTAAAAACCAGCAACGTAGTGTAACATAGTCATAAAAACCAATTGATGTCGTGAGTGTGTAATTGTGAGTTGAATATAAAACTTTATACGATTAAACATGATAGAAAAGTAGACTCAAAGAAATCGTATCTGTAATGATCAAGCTCACCTTCACAACAAGAGCCTCGATCTCTTTGTCGTAACGAACGGCGAAGTGGAGATTGCCGGCAGTTTCCATTTCAACGGTGCTTGAGCTTTCAGTGCTCTCTTGGCGTATCAGTTCTTTCTTGTAGAGTTCCGGCTGTAACACAAGAAAGGAAGGAATGATGGTTTTTGCTATGTCAGCTACAATTAGCATATGACAGTAATAAAAATTAAAGGGGCATCATTCCAACTTACTTTGATAAGGCCTAGGCGCGAATCGCTACGATTCTCCAAACTACAAACGCTAAATTTGATGTTGGGCACATCCAGCCGATGCGACAATTGACGCTGAAAATTTTGATGTCTTGTGGGCACTATGGGTAATGTTGTCTGCCGCAAAACCTTAAATTTCAAAGATATTTTGATTAATCACCGCACGTTTATTCAAAGTGACATTCTGAATGATCGAAAATATCCTACACTATTCATAGATTTTCATGGATATTTTTATACGTAAGGTAACTCAAAGATGGTATTGAAAAGTTTTTTAAGAATTAAATATTTTAATGAAATACGGTACTAGTATTTAATATTCGAAAATAAAAAAATAAAAAATCAAACGAATGAGAATATTTTAATAAATAATAAAGAAAAAATTATGATTTAGGATTAAAAAAAAAAAAATATAGACAACGTTCATAATAAGAAAGTGTATGTATAAGAAAAATTTTGAGATTGCATAAATATTAGAAATGAATGGTACAGAAATTTATCATAGCCACTGATTTTCATTGAGTAAAGAATCCAAGGAGTCAATCGTTGCAATTACAATGGCGATTCGAGTAATTGCAAAACATTTGTTTGTAATATTGCAACAGTGCAATTGAGACAGTACAGTACCTTTTTGTTGTCCTTCTGCTCCTGCACGTACTCGTGGGTGACGGGTTTGGACTGCAAATCGGGAAGCGAGTGACTTATCCGTATGGCGCTCTGCTGACTGAGCTCTGCCTCGACGTCTTCCTGGCCGTCCGGTCGAGTTCTACTAACGAGCCATCGCCACGTCGACGAGCACTGGTAACTCACCGCCGCAAACAGCACCAGAGCCATCAGCGCCAATCCAGCGCCGATCAACAGTTGGTAGGAAAACGACTCGGGCCACTCGTCGGCTGGAACATAAATAGAAGGACCAAAACACTTAAACAGGAACGTCGTTGTATTTGAAAGCGCAAGCAGAGGATGTTTGTTTAACACTATGAAAAACTTGAAAATAAGCGTGGATGTTGTGCTTTTCAAGGTTGTTGACACGCATGCGAGAGATAATCTATAAAATAAATCTTTATTTCGTTTTTCAATGTACGGAGCTTGGAAATGAAGAAAATATACTTTTTTCAACTGTTTGTCTGCGATGTACACGATACAAGAAAAATTGGGGTCTCACACAAAAAAGGCTGGAGTAGGCTCTTTTTTGAGCTTTTATTTAATTTTCTCGACAAGAAATTCAAGGAAAAAAATCCACCCCTTATTTCGATCCCCATTTTTTATCGAAATAACTGGCACGAATTGATTGGGGATTCGTTCACTAATGAGAGGGAAAATTTCTGCCTCATTTTAATGAAGATTTATTAACTATATCTAATACATCAAACAAAGTGCGCACCTTGACGTCACCAGCCCTTTTATGCTATGGACAGTTTTTTACAGCTACAAGTTTGTTTTATGTTTTCCTCGAAATACCTCGAGCTCCCTGTGATTAAACATGCGCGTTGTCAAAAGTCAAAGTCAAAGGAAGGATTTTGCAGTATAGGAGACACGTAGTAATCTGCTTGAAAGCAGCAGCTACGCCATATATCACTTCTGGTGTTTGGAAAATTTGTTCTCGTAGTTCACGTATGTCGCTTGGCTGATGTAATTTAAAATGTGAATCTGTATAATGTATTTTCAGAAAAATTGTGCATTTTCTCGGCTTTTATTTTTCAACAGATGAGTCGAATTGAAATGTAAATCATTCTTTGAAGGTAAACATAAATATTCCAACTATTGCGTACAAAAATCAAGTTGCTGAGAAAAATATTGTTTTTCCTCTTATACAGGTCCCAGTATATACACTGATTGCGAGTAAATAGTTAATCTTTAGAAATATAAAGTTCACATAAAATAAAATGCAACAAACTCTATGGGCCAAATGATTCATTTCAATATGCTTTTAATTTACTAATAGTTTTTTTTACAATATAAATGGGCTTTTCAAAATGCTGAACATGGCTTACGTCCATCGATTACAGGCACAGGCATTGTTAATTTACAAAAGAAAATAAGAAAAAATAAACTCCTACTCGAGTGAATAACATACGGGATATAACAAGTTTGCTTGTACGTGCAACAATTCTTAAAACCATTGTATTGTATTGGTACAAAAAAAAATAATAATAAATAAATAATAGATCATTCTTTAAAATTCAATGAGTCAGTAAGCTTTAACAAAGATTTCACACAAAGTAGAAGTACGATATCTTGATCTAAGTTTTTTCGTTGAATTTTAATTTTTTTTCGTCATATTTGTTTGGAGAGAGCAAAAAAAAATTTGCAACCATACTTGTACTGATGGGATACATAAAGCTCTGCCCTATGGATTAAAACTAATTATTCAACCAATCATCATCTGGTTCGAGTTTATATAACATATCCATGGATAGAGAAGTGCAAAGCGCCATCGACTGTTTATCTTACATCTGCGATATTAGCAACGCAATATCGGGTTTTTATTTGCACCGACAAAGCTCTCCGAACTTTATCTAAATTAAGTTTCACTTTCAGACAAGAAACACCCAAACAAGATTACACATCTACATTTCGCGCGACAGACTTTGAAATCTAATTTCCCTAGCCTCATAAAACAGAGTCATTCGAAAGAGGAAAAGAGACCACGTCGGGCCTTTCTCTCAATGTTAAGGTAGCACGTGTGCAACCCGAGAGCAAAGCGACGCAGCCACTTACCAAAACTTATCTAATTGACTTTCCGATACTTTGCTTGGCCCGTCCCCTCACGGGATTTCCGCTCATACTTGCAGTTCACTTCTAGCTTACTTATTATGTTGCCGAGGCGCGGAAAGTATACATGTGTCCGACGATATGATATTTGCCCCGTAACAGCAGGAAGCAGGAAACCACTTTCGTGACATAAAACCAGTTTGCGATAGTCGCACGCCACAGCCTCCGTCTTTTCGCACGCAACATTTTTAATGCATTCGAGCAGAAAAGCTAAGCAACAAAGGGCGTGGAGCACACGCTTTGTCGAGCTACTACTGTTTATTATGTTCCATCTCGTTTCGAGAGAGCGTAGCGTTTTCTGTTATCTTTGTTTCTGTTTGTTCATTTTTTGTCACTTTGTTGATGACATCAACTCGAAATAGCTCTGAAGGCTCTCAAAAATGATAAGAGAGTTTAGCAAGCCCTGGAGCATATTTCATTTTGAATAACACACCATGGCTGGTGTTGGATAACGTAAAAATTCGATTAAGTGACTTTTGCCGTAACAATCAGCTGAGAAAGTATTAAAGTAATGGTTAAACTAAATGATATTTGCGGCAACGTTTCAAAAGAACTCTGTCATGTGTAATAGTTGGATCAAGATCTCACCAGGTATAGTATAAGCGCAACAATTACATATAAATGATGAGACGCAATTCGCTTCAAGACGTAACAGTTGAAGAAAGCAATAGTTGCAACATAATGTCAAGACACAACAATTCAACCAAACGCCATAAATCCTAACAGTTCGATCAAAGAAACCATACAGAAAAAAAAAAAAAAAAAATTGTTGCATGACCCACCCTAAAAATAACTCATGTTCAGCTGCACCAACCTATCCATCACTTTAGCTAACCAACATACACGATAACATATCTACCTTGGCTCGGACAAACTTGGCCCACACAAAGCAAATAATCGATCGGATAAAATTGCGCTTCATTCGATGCCCAAACATGATATATTATAGGTGCACGACATCAGCTCCCATCATCTTCGCGTAAGCTCGCCTCGTCTGTTGTGCATCAACGACGAGCTTTTCGACGTTGAACTTTGCACTCGACGCCGCGTCGTTGGCTCGTTTGCAAGCCCTGTGTAAATTATGCACGGACGTGACTACTCCTGTTATACGACACTTGCATTCGCGTATACAACGCGTGTATGCATTATGCATGAAGGTCCGGTAGTGTGATCGACGACAGCGAGTGAATATTAGCACGGTAGCCGCAATTATGCTTCCACCCTTCCCCACACCCCATCTCATTTTCTGCTTTGTCTTCACCGAAACTCCCTCCATATATATATACACCGCTTTGTTCTGACAAACTCTCTCTCTCTCTCTCTCTTTATCTCTAGCTTGTGAAGTTTTGCCGATGGCGCTGTTCTCAATTTACGTCATTAAAATTGAAGGCTGTATCGATGCGCTATTTACCGAGCACTCGCACGGCAGGCACCTCATCAACAGAGGATATTCCATAACTAAGCTTGAATTCAATATATCCTCGAGAATATGCTTGGCAAGTAAGCTTTGTAGTAGTTTTCAAGGTTCTAGGCGAAATGGACTGCGAACTGACTTTATAAAATAATCCTGTCGTTTTTAAGGATCAATCAGCTCTCGACGCTGTTGCTTGAAAAGAATAACTGGAATATCGCTCGCGTGGCATTGCGTTTTATTGTTTTGGGACTCTTGGATGAATCCACTGATTATTCCGTTTTGCAAGAGGATAGTTAAACTACGGTATTTCTATAAAAATATCATCGCCAAATTGAACATAAAGATAAAAAAAATACAAAGCACAACCAAGTAATGAAAAAAATCCTAGCAAAAGATGTGCACTAATGATAAAAGTTACGAAAGAAAACCATCAGCAAATATTTCAAATTGGAAAAAAGTAGCTATTCTCTTTGATGCACCATTAACGCCAACGTATGCCCACGAATCGCAAAGTTAGCTTTGTGGATTTAATGACTTTCCCAATCGTATATTCCTCCCCCAAGTAAGCACCTTTTTCCCTTCCAAACAATGACGACGGCACGGGAGAAGCGAGTCTCGTCTTCTCCTGTCTTTCTCGGAAAAAAGAGTTCGCTGTTACAGAGACAAGCGATAGGTTGGGGACGTGCACGAAGCATACGGCTTTGTGTCGGGCCGTAAGGTCGACACAGTTTTGTTCAAGGCTCAGATAAAAGAGCCCCTCCCACCCAAATTACGACTCGCCAGGAGCGTTCAAGGTTGGGCGGGAAAGAGGTGCTGTTACACAGGTGGGTAAAATGACAAGGGTGGCGAAAGGTTCTTTTTTCTTTTTTTTTTTTTTTTTTTTTTTCTTATTTCGTGAAATTGGAAGCGTCGGAGTACTTTGGAGACATCCGTGTGACAAAAGAGTTGCCATTGGATAAGCCGCTTGGAGAGGGTGAGAATGTTATGTGTGTATTATGTGATTGGAGCTCGTACGTGCCGTGAAAAAATCCATCCATGGTATTACTTTCATTCTTGATTAATTCCAAGACACATGTGATGATGTAAGCAAGGGTGACGACATGGATTTACAACCGAAAGTCAGATCTAATTATTCAGCATTATTTTCAGCCTTTAATTGTTAAAAACCATTTGAAAAGGAACATACTTACTGTGATAAAAAACTGTTTGCGATGTATTTGTTCCTCTCATTCAAACTATTCCAAGTAGATGACTTTCGCATTAAAGCTGAATTATCATTTGCTTGGTTATGTCAATGTACCAAATGATTTATTAAAATAATAAAAATACATACCGCTAAGTAATTCGACTTAATTTATCAAAGAATACTACACAAAAGTAAATAAGGTAAGTACATAGGTACCAAAACATCCTTACATATCAATAAGGCACAAACCATGCTACACGTAGTGTTTCGTTACTTTATTTTGCCACGTGTCGTAAATAAAAGAAAAAAAAATCCAGGGGCACACAAACAGAAAATAACGAGACTAATGAAATATTAATACTAACAATAATACTAACAATAACAGTAAAACAGTGGCCAGGGGTGTGAGTGACGGAAAAAATTGGCCACCACTGCTGTTGATACGCAGTACAGTCTCAGTGCGTACCGTGGTGAAAGAGAGATCTCCAGCTACGTGGAATATACGATGGCCACACATG